TATTGGTTCTCTTTAATTATGCCCTTTGCATGGTCATTAGAACTCTAGGAATAACTGCAGTTTGATGCTTAATTGAATACAAAAACAAATATTTTTTTTAAAGGAAAAGAAACTGGATTATTTGGGGGGGCGGTGTTTTAATTTTTAAAAAAAATCATGACAGTTGTATTGGGATTCCTTTTAACATTGTTAATAAAGTCTCATTAATACTTACAATTTTTTGCATTGCAAAAGTTAACAACTAAGAAAATCGAATCACATTTGTGAAATAACAAATAGGGAAACAGGGAAAAAAGATCAAAATGCATGATGGAGACATTTCTACTTCATTCTAATTGGTGAAAGGTATAATCAAAATCAAATAATCCTTAATGAATTGTATTTTCTGAAACAAAGCAAGAGGGACAACAGATTTTGTGTTCTGTGAAACATTCTTAAATGACTAAAGGACATTTAAGGAATTTAATTTATAGGAATATGAATGCAGGATTGACTGATCAAGAAGTAAACAAATAAAGCTTCAGCTAGAATCACAATCATGAATAAGTACAAGTAACGCCTTTTGTCTATGACTTTTAAGGACAAGAACCAGAAAAAGTTGCTAGTTCACATGTGACTAGAAACTCTGAACTGAGGTACTTGGAGTCAATTACTAGCTTTCCCTGTAAGGAAGAGAAAGTGAGAGCAATCCAACTACTGTACCAGAAAAAAAAAACCACTGGGATGTCAAAATGAAGCTGACATAAAACAGTTTCATTGCCAATACTCTTGTGGGAATGTTTTAATAGATAACCTTTTCCATCACACCTCCTCAGATGGAAAGGATGGAAAGTAATTCATCAAATCCTTCTTAAAACCACTGCAGTTCTCCAGATGCTTAGAATTCTTCCACTTCTAAGGGTGGGGGGAGATTAAGCTAGAGCTTTGGTCCTAGAGCAGGAGTGTCAAACTCAAGGCCCACAGGGCTGAATTCGGCCCACGGGGTGCTTAAATCTGGCCCGCAAGGCCAGCCTGGAAATAGCAAGGGATTGGCCCTCGGTGCCTCGGTTCGACACCCTTGCCCTAGAACAAGATGTCTTGAATTTTTTTAAAAAAAATCTTGAAATACTAAACCCCTGATATCTGAAACCACACATTTAGAGTTAGAACTAGAGAAAATTCTGGGCCCATCAGAGGTGTAAGTTGTGTTTCTATTGAAATATCCAAGCAATATAATCTGCACATAACATTCCTTTGTGTTCTATACATCCCAAGCTACCTCTGTACAACAATTGAAAAATCAAATCAACCTGCTTGTGGAGCATCTCAACAAAGTGAGCCATGTCACCAAGTACCAAGAACAGTTCAAGTAACACACATGCAATGTATTGCTAAGACTTAATGATCTAGAAATATTTATTCATTTTTCAGATGCAAAGTCTTGAATCTTTCTGTATGGACAACTTGACTATCTTATTGGGTTGTAGTCTTGATGTTTGGGCTTGTGATTATAATCCGTTGGTACAGGTAGTCCTCGATTTACGACCTCAACCGAGCCCAACATTTCTGTTGCTAGGTGGGGCATTTGATAAGTGAGTTTTGCCCCGTTTGATGCCACAGTTGTTAGGTAAATCAGTGCGGTTGTTAAAACATGGTTGTTAAGTGAGTCTGGCTTCCCCACTGACTTTGTTTATCAGACGGTTGCAAAAGCTGATCCCGTGATCCCTGGGAAATTGCAACTCTCATAAATGTGAACCAGTTGCAAAGCATCTGAAGATGCTCTAACAGTCGTAAGTGTGAAAGATGTTCATCAGTCCCTTTGTTCAATGCTGTTGTAACTTCTAACAGTCACTCAATGAACTGCTATAAGTCAAGGACTACCTGTAATCGCAAGCAAAGGAATGGGGTTGCCCAATGAGTCAAGTTAAACTCTTGTTATCCTTATTCATCTCTAGCTTCCTCTTTGCTTTGTTTTTTTTAAAAACCTTTTTTCTACCTTTTAAGGTTTTATTTATGTGCCTTATTTATCTTTCCTTTTGAAAATTAGCTTCCCCCCGACATTGCCATCGCCTTCATGTTTTGTTTTTATTTTATTTTAAATCCCATAATTCCTTTAGGCCACCACTCTGGCTCCCACTTCCACTACCAGTGCCACTATTTCCTTAGCCAACCCTGATGT